GAGAGAGAGAGAGAGAGAGAGAGAGAGAGAGAGAGAGAGAGAGAGAGAGAGAGAGATATCTTTTAAGAGGTGCTTTTTGCCAGAAGACCCTAGGGCTTATTACAGAAGCTTCAGAGGTCACCCAGGCAGCTGCATCCTGCCATTTTATCTTTAGTGGAACCTGCCTGGGGGCAGCTGGAGGACCACACAGCAGAGTGAGGCTTCAGTCTGTGCACAGCTAACTGACCTCAGCTGGAGAAACAGCAGCTATTACCCCAGTACAGGGACCAGGAGGAGGTTCTGCTAATGGTGCTGGGATTTCACTTATCATGAATGGTCTGGGTTCTGAATCTAGGTTTGCAAGTACCATGGACCTGCAAGTGTCTTCTTCAGCTGAACCCAGATAATATGCACCTGTGTTGGTGATCCCCTCAGAGGCTCTGTTGGCTCTGTGTGTGTGTGTGTGTGTGTGTGTGTGTGTGTGTGTGTGTGTGTGACTAACCTGCTAGCTCAGACCTTGAACATGGAGGACCACTTCACACCACTTCACAGGTGTTCCACAGACCAAGGTCCATTAGTCACTACTCTCTTTAGGAAGACTTTGTGGGACACTGTCAGCCTGCCTCCCTGGTGGAGAATGCTGCAATGCTCAGGGATGGCCACCCTAAAGTCCCAACAAGTCAGGCACTCTTCTAAGACTGGCCCACAGCAGACAAGGTAGCTCAACCAGAAGGCCATCAGAGTTTGAACCAAGCTGTCCTGGTCATGAACAAGGGTCCTTGGTCTCAGGTGAGGGCACTCAGCCAGCCTGATCCATGGGCTTGAACTTTATGACCCTATGATGTACAGAATATCTCCATTCACTTTTATATTTATTTGTATTTTTTTTCTAGAAAACATTAAGGCATTTTCATTTTCTTTATTAAAAATATTTTTTATACAATATATTCTGATCAGTTTTCCCTCCCTTATCTCTTCATAGAAACTTCCCACCTCCCCACCCACCAACTCCATGCTTTCTTTCTCTATGTATTTAAAAATAAAAAATACGCAAATTAAAAACAAACCAGAATAAAAAAGGCACACCACACACACCACACACAACACACACACACACACACACACACACACACACACACCATAGAAGCACAAAATTGGAAACCATAAAATACAAGCAAAAGACCAGTAAGATACAAAAAAGTGTCCAAACAAAGCAATATGAGACATGTCTACAAACAAAAACCATTGTGATGGCTATTTTTGGTTATCAACTTATGGAACTAACTAAAATCCAAAAATGGAGGACCCAACAATGAAGATTTTTGCTTAATTTGAAGTAGGAAGATCCACTTCTAATCTGGATTTCGAGGCAAGAAGACACACACCTCTAATCTGGACCACACGTTTGCTAGAAGCCTATATAAGGACATGGAAGAGGGAAGCTCTCTCTTTGCCTGCCTGCCCTCTCCTTGCTAGCAAGTCCATTCTTTACTGGCACTAGAGACTACTTCTTCAGGATTCCAGAAGCTACTGAAGACATCCAGCCTCGTGGACTGAGCAACTGTTGGGTTCTTGTACTTTCCATACATAGGCAGTCACTGTTGGATGAGCTGGACTGCAGCCTGTAAGCCAGTCTAATTAATCACTCACACACACACACACACACACACACACACACACACACACACACACACACACACACACGATGAGGGGAATTCATTCTGTAAGTTCTGTTATTCTAGAGAACTGTAATACAACCACTGAATTTGTTTTATGCTGGCCATCTGCTGCTGGGAAGGGGTCTGCCTTTAAGTGTGGCTTATATGCCCAATGAACTCCATTAGAGAAACTGATTTTTCTTCTGCAAGTGGTTATCCAGTGGAGATAGCTTCTTGGCTAGGGAGGGAGCTCCTGTCCACCTCTCCCCCTCTCGGGACAGCATCTGGCTTGGACCCTGCAGGCCCTGTATGTGCTGCCACAGTCTCTGTCAGTTCCTATGTTCATCAGTCCTGCTGTGATGGAGGACACGGTTTCCTCAGCATCATCCACCCGCTCTGGCTTCACGTCTTTCTGTCTCCTCTTCCACATAGTTTCCTGAGCACTCAGGAGAGGGGACTGATGAAAACATCCTATTTAGGACCCAGTGTTCCAAAGTCTCCACTCTCAGCACATTGTCCAGTTGTGGGTCTCTATATTAGTTCCCATCTACTGCAGGGGGAAGCTTCTCCAAGGGTGGCTGAGAGAGACACTTGGCTATGGGTATAGCAGAATGTCATTAGGAATTACTTCATTGCTTTTTCCTCTAGCAGAACAGTAGGATTTGGTTTTCTTCTGGGCTCATGGCTTAT